TGTCATCTGGTACCACTGAGAACAGTCTAGATCCATCTTCTTTGGAACCCCCTTTCAGGTAGTTGAAAGCAGCTATCAAATCCCCCCTCATTCTTCTCTTCTGCAGACTAAACAATCCCAGTTCCTTCAGCCTCTCCTCATAAGTCATGTGCTCCAGCCCCCTAATCATTTTTGTTGCCCTCTGCTGGACTCTTTCCAATTTTTCCACATCCTTCTTGTAGTGTGGGGCCCAAAACTGGACACAGTACTCCAGATGAGGCCTCACCAATGTCGAATAGAGGGGAATGATCATGTCCCTCCATCTGCTGGCAATGCCCCTACTTATACAGCCCAAAATGCCATTAGCCTTCTTGGCAACAAGGGCACACTGTCGACTCATATCCAGCTTCTCGTCCACTGGAACCCCTAGGTCCTTTCCTGCAGAACTGCTGCCTAGCCACTCGGTCCCTAGTCTATTACAGTAAATGGAATTCTTCCGTCCTAAGTGCAGGACTCTGCACTTGTCCTTGTTGAACCTCATCAGGTTTCTTTTGGCCGAATCCTCTAATTTGTCTAGGTCTCTCTGTATCTTATCCCTACCCTCCAGCGTATCTACCACTCCTCCCAGTTTAGTGTCATCTGCAAACTTGCTGAGAGTGCAGTCCACGCCATCCTCCAGATCATTAATGAAGATATTGAACAAAACCGGCCCCAGGACTGACCCTTGGGGCACTCCGCTTGAAACCGGCTGCCAACTAGACATGGAGCCATTGATCACTACCCGTTGAGCCCGACGATCTAGCCAGCTTTCTATCCACCTTACAGTCCATTCATCCAGCCCATACTTCAACATGCTGGCAAGAATACTGTGGGAGACCGTATCAAAAGCTTTGCTAAAGTGAAGGAATAACAAATCCACTGCTTTCCCCTCATCCACAGACCCAGTCATCTCCTCATAGAAGGCAATTAGGTTAGTCAGGCATGACTTGCCCTTGGTGAATCCATGCTGACTGTTCCTGATCACTTTCCTCTCCTCTAAGTGCTTTAGAATTGATTCCTTGAGGACCTGCTCCATGATTTTTCCAGGGACTGAGGTGAGGCTGACTGGCCTGTAGTTCCCTGGATCCTCCTCCTTCCCTTTTTTAAAGATGGACACTACATTAGCCTTTTTCCAGTCATCCGGGACCTCCCGCTGTACATGGAAACTCTTAATGTATATGCAGAAATGTATACACTTTCACTTTATTTAAAGAGACAGGACTGTAGTTGCTGATTAAAATGATTTCCTCATCCTAAACCAAGGTATTGTCTACTTAACTATTTTTCCCCTTGTGCACTGAATGCAAGCTTCACTTGATTTTGTGACTATTAGTTCACCTTTCTGCTGCTGGACTAACTCACTCATAGAAGAGGCAGTACATTTAGGTTACTTTCATCTGTGATTAACAAGGCTCTTGTGTTTTTTCCCATTTAAAAAAACCCTCTGATTTTGTTTTATTTTTGACAGTAGCGGTGGTTCTGAATATAATTCCTTCCTGCTTTTGTTTCTCTCTTCAACTCTGTTTGTTAGCATCTGGGGTTTCTGGTTTACTCTCTCTTTGCAATATTAATTTGCAAGAAGGAGGTGATGGTAAGGGACATGATTGTAATTTGCATTTGCAAAGTGCACTAGGTGCTTTCCCCAGTACACAAACAGCAGAATAGCCCGCATTAGTGTGGAAACAACCTTAGAGAATGCCACAGGTATGTTGTGGTGTGATTGGTCACTTGCAAATGTGATGCTTTTGAAGCAGGCCATGCAGGTGTTGCTGGAAAGAGGGATACATACATAAGCTTCCAAGAGCCCTCTTTCTCCCGCACGCCCCCCCCCCATTCCTTCGTGTGTACTCCTGGGCTGCTGCTTATGGTATGTGCAGAACTGTCCCCTTCATTATACTAATCTCCCTGTCTGTCTGACACACCCATATATATATATAGACAAATCCATCTACCTATCTCACCTGCCTGCCGTTGGCAGTCTAGATCACACACGGCCCCTTGGTATCTAAGCACCTTTCTCTCCTCCTTCAAATCCCTTCTTCTGCGGTGCCTTTAAATATGAACCACCTGAGAGAGAATCCTGCACCATCCCCAGCTCCTGTTGGCTTACCACCTTGGTGTTACCTTCACCTGGAGAACCCCCATTTCAGAATGAGGGCTAAGACACCGGTGAATAGTCGTGTGTGTAACCAGAGATGCTGAAGGCCAGATAGTGGCCAGCCCTGTGTGGGGTAGACGAAAGAGGTCAAGAAACCTTTTCTCCTTCTGCCCCTGCTCAGGGGACAGACACAGGACTTACCTTTGTCCTGCCAGGGAGCCCTTGTGCTCTCAGAAGTGCTAGACTCCCCCAAAAGCCATAGCCCTTCCCCCTTTTCTCTACCACACCCTATTAACTGGTTTTGCCCTGTCCCCCGCTGACTGCCTCTGGGGACGACTCCCGGTGCAGATTTCCTCCATCTGAATGCAGACTGTGGTTTGAGTGACACAGTACGGCCCTCAGTTACTTGTGAACGGTCACAGACAGACTCGGGAAGAGCATGGAATGTAGCCCATGTTAGACCACATTGCGAGAGGGAGATCTGCTCCTTGTGCCCTTTTCTTTGTTCATTTGGTCTCCATTCGGTGCCCTTTTTGGACTAGATCTCCCCAGTCAATAGTCACCGGGTGCTGTCTGGGATGGAGAGTGCCTTCCCTGTAGAACACCAAGTCTGCCTGGTTTCTGGCCTGCAAGGGGGGACCGGGGTCTGCAATCAACACACTAAATGAAGTGACAAAAAAAGAAAAAAAATCCCATCTTGTGGGTTGGAAGGGTTAAAACTGTCGAATTCTCATGCAGATTTAAACTCCACTTGTGTTTTTGCAGCAGTTCCTCATTATCTTCTCTCAGAGCCTGTTTTCCAAACACAAAAGTTGTGCACAGGTTTGGTGAACAGGGCCTCTCCCCACCGCCCACTAGCCCTCTAATTGTCATTAAAACATTATCCAGCTTCTCCCCACTCTGCTCCGCGAAAAGCACTTTCTTGGGGGTACTGTACGTACGTGCTGCTGCGTTTCGGCCCTTTCATCCCATTACAACAAGTGGACAAGTATTCATTTACAAGAACAAAATACGTGGGTAAATTGCCACATTCACTGGGCAGTTTCTCATTAGGTGAGCAAATAAGCCCCTTTCCTCACCTGCAAGTCCCTGAGTCACTTCCTCCCCATAGCTTCTCTATGCTCACTCCTGCATCTTTCCACCCCGCTCACTTTTCTGTCCTTCCCAGGAATCCCATGGTTGTTTGGAAGGTCAGGGATTAAATACAGTCGGCTGTATTTTTCTCCAGCTGAAGTTTACTTCGTTGCTTTCTTTCTCCTCTCTCGCTTGTTTGGAGTCAGGTCTGTGCTATCGTTTTCCTTTCTCTCTCGACATTTGTTTATGGTGACTCGTTCACAATTGGGGTTAGCGCCAAAGCTGCCTTCGCAACTGTACGTTGTTTAAAAACGCTACCGCACACTTGGAAATCTTCTCACCTCAGTCCCCTATGCTAGTTAATCTTTAGAAATTCTCTGCCTAATGGCAGATGAAATTTGAGATTTTCTTATTCTTTTTGATTGATTCTCTTTGTGTGTTGTGTAGGGGAGGTTGAATGGTTTTTTACATATGCAACTTACGAAGGGTCCATAAATTCTATAGTGCCCCTCTTTCCACTGCTGTCTGGGGTTTGGTAGCAACTCATACAAGATTGGTAATCTGTGGGATAAGATATTAGCCTAAAGTCGAATGAAGCCTTACTGTAGACCACCCTGGGGTCCATTCACTTCAACAAGAGCTGCATCTGCCTCCACTAAGGCTGAAATTGACTCTTAGATTATAGAATTGATTCTGGGTGAAATTCATTCTCATGCAGAAAGCTCAACAAAGGCTTGGGAAACCATTTAAGACCAATTTAAAAGTGACAAGCAAAGGAAATTTTTAAAAATTGCATTTCTTCACTTTTCTGCTTCTTCCTCTATATAATGAAAGCAGGGGAAATATATAAACTTTTCAAAAGAAAAAGAGGAAAACGAGGTGCATTTTAAGAACTTTCCCACCCTTTTTTTGGTTGTCTTGGATCATCAGCAAAGATGTCCTTTCATGAGGCAGTGGGGTTAAATAGGTCTTCACCAAAACAAACAAATGTTTTACACACATGAGACCTAAAATCCCCTCAGTCCATTGCTCAGTTCTTGTTTCACTAATTCTGCATTTGTCCACTGAGTCCCGGGGACAGGCCTGATCTCACAACACATCCATGGCAGAGCTGTGAACAGAACCAATGTCTCTTGAATCCCAGTCCTGTTCACACTGGATTCAGAGGACTTAAGCCTTCAGGACTGCTGGTCTCACTCTGCGCTTACACCTCCCTGCAATCACTCCAGATTCACACCAGCGTAACTGAGAGCAGAACCAGGCTTTATATGTGTATATTGGCATAGCTCTGTATTTTCCTTTGGCATTAGATCCGGGGCAATGTGTATTGCTTTGGGAACACTTCCATGGGAGTTGCTTTTAATCCATCCCTTTGCACTGCTTTCTGTGTATTAAAAGGAGCCTCCTTATCAGTGGGCAGGATCTCATGAACACATTTCGGAATCCTCTCCATTTCAGAGCTCTCTTCTTTTACAGGAATCTTTACAGCTATGCACATTCACTCCCCTCTTATTATTATCCAGCAATTGCTTTTGTTTAAGGCAGTTTTTTGTAGAGTCAAAATCCCAGAGAAAAGTGAAATATCCTGCTTGGCAGTTCTGTTCTGTTGGACGGGTTTTGCCCCTGCTCTGCTATTGCCATTTTATAAGGTGTCGTCCCAGGTACATTCCTGCTTTACTTAGCCGTTTCTGTGGCTGTGCAGATGGTGCTATAAAATCCTATTTCCATTTAACCCTGGCTGCTTGTTTTTACCAGCTGTATGTTTCCTTCTTGCTGGTGATAATATTTTTCTCCTCTTATTGTTCCACAGGGCTCTGGGTTCCCCACCGGCTCCCCAGTTACTTCTCCCCCGGGATCTACTCCGGTTACTGGGCACAAGCGGATGATCATTCCCAACCAGCCGCCTCTCACTGCCACCAAGAAATCTACTGCCAAGGCACCGGTGCAACCTGCTGCCCCGCCCGCCCCAGTCCCAGTGACTCCTGTTGGTACACTAAAACCTCAGCCACAGCCAGTTCCAGCATCTTATATCACCGCGTCCACTCCCACCCGACCGGCGTTCAACGTACAGGTGAAAACAGCCCAGCCCAGCCCTCACTTCCAGCCACCTGGCCCACCGCCCGTTCAGTACGGGCTGGGTCCAAGCCAATCCTATGCTCCTCAGCCAGCCCGGCCCCCGGGGCCAGCACAGTATGTTCCATCTCAGCCTCGTGGTCCTGAGTATGGCTACGCTCCCCAGCCTGCACGTCCTTCAGAGCCTGCTTATGGCTTTGCACCTTCACAGGGGCGGTATCAAGAGCTTTACTACCCTGCAGGCCCTGGATATGGAGGAAGAAATGGCTCGGAACCATCCTATGTGCCACAAAACACCTGGAAGCCCGAGCCAGCCTATCCCACAGCTAACACCATGGCCCAAAATCCAGCTGGGCCGTACCAACCGCCCAGCACAAAGAAGACGTACATTACGGATCCGGTGTTAGCACCTCCTCCACCACCCATGCAGCCAAAGGTAAGAGAGAGACAGATAGCCACTCTTAGGCTCGGTTGTGCCCATGTGTGGTTTTTCAGTCTTGTTCGTTATTGAACGGCGCTCGTCGAGATGCCAGCGCACTGGTTTGAAGACACGTGCGCTGTTTTTTCAGTCATGTTAAGCTCACTGTATTGAGCTAATGGGATTGCGAACTTCATCTTTGTGTCCTGTCGAGAGAGGGCTACAGAGGGCACAGAAAGCAGCTAAGTCTGGTGTTTTCTCTCTGATTGGCTTTTTTTTTTTTTGTAACTGGCTGGTAGAAAATGGGAACTTTCATCTGATTTGAAAATACAAGTGCTGGGGTCTTAGAAATTCCACCTTTCCTGTGGGGTGACCGTGTCTCATTTCAGGAATGCAGTGGTATTCCACAGAATTCACCCTGCAGGGCAGAGGAATTTTAAGCTCTGAAACTTTAAAACTCATCATCCCAATTAATAGGACATGTAATTATGTGGCCTCATGATGCCCTGATCTTTCAGACCTGCTTCTCCTAAGATTGATTAAGAGATTACTGACAAAGACCTGGGGTCATGTACACCATTGGGTCTGTTTTGTTCTCCAGTTACCGGGGGGGGGGGAATTATTCCTGTCCATGTGCTTAAAGCTGGGGGGGGCGGGGGAACAGTGTTGTTCATTGAATGTGGTTTAAGTGATTCTGTGCATCATTGCTTAAAGATCCTTACCCCTGAAACCTCACACAAATGTTTTCCTACACCAAGCTTGGCGACCGTGAAAAGCTTCCGTGTGTGCTGCTCATCCGTTCCAACAAGTGTCAAAGCAAAGGAGCCCTTCAAAGAGGCCTCTTAATGTGAAACAAAGACAAAGAAAGTTAAACTCACCCATCTGGTTTCACTGCTTAGACCTTGATCCAGAAACCAGGTCTTCACAAGCAGAGTCCCATTTCCTTCAAAAGCTGTTCCTGTGGATACAGGGGCCTGGCTGTGCAGATCCAGGTTCAGGATTGAGGCCTTGGTGAGGTGTTTGAAAACAGCGTCAGCGGTGAAAAGTAAATAAATTTGTAAAATCTAAGCTGCTGTTGCCACAGGTAGGAGATAGTTATTCATGTACGTGGAGCCAAATTCCACCCTCCGTTGTAAGTATGCATTTGGATTTTATCTTGGCGGTGTGCTATTAATACGAGTGCTCTAACCTCCCCACAATGGGAGCGGTGCCTGTGTGCGTTCATTGCTTTGCGCTCGCCGAGGCCTGAAGACAACTGGGCTCAAATCCCGCGCCAATGAAAGCATCGCTGTCAAAGGCTACCTCGATCTGCCTCAGTGCAGAACTTGTCTCTAGCCTTTTAATGCTGAGAGAAGAATGCTAAATAGTTACAAAACAAAACACAAAAAGCTCCTCCCATCGACCTTGCCCTCGCTCGGTTCACCCAGCCCTTTTTCGTAGCCAGATTTCATTCCAGTTTCCTGAATTCAGGAACTATTCAAAGCAGGGAAGCTCAGTGTTTCTCAAGTCAGGATAGACAAAACAACAAATAAAAGTCCTTGAAATACAGTCTGCTGGCAACCTTACTAATTAGGTTTTGTCTTCCGCAGAGCTGTGAGCGCAGGAGGGGAGGGGACTCTGTATATGTCACATGTCTGATATTAGGTAGAGCTGATGTTGTTTTTTAAAAAGTATTGTACTGCTTGGGCCAGATCCGTCACTGGCGTAAATCGGTGCGACTCCATTGAAGTCAGTGGGATGACATCAGTTTACATCAGCTAAGGAGCTGGCCCAAGCAGTATAGAAGAACCATAGCGCAGTGTCTCTATGGAAGCATAACTCTCTTCTCACCACGAACAGCGTGAGTCTTGCAGCCATATTTGCAATACAAAGCTGGAAGGGACAAGACAATTTAGCTTAAATTTATATTTATAATGCAAAATCATTTCTTCTGCAAAACATCCTTTCCACTTATTGATACATAAAGCCCTTTGAGAATTTCATTTCCTTCGTAGCCTGCCGAAGGCACGTTGCTATCCAGTTTCAGCATGGGCACGACCGCTATCCTGAATAGTCGTGGAGGAAGCTGTGCATTACTTATTAGTAAGAAGCAGGGTAGAATTGATGGAGATCTCCCAGGGTAATAGGAAGTGTCCAGTAAATACACCCACCCCTTTGGAATGTTTTGTCATTGGCCATGAAAGCAGCATTGTTTCACTAGACTGCATCTTCTCTCTCTCCTTTCGCAATCTGGCTTATTAGGATGAACCAACTTTTTGGAATGATTTCATATCAAGGAAAAGTTGCTGAAAATGTTACAGCCATGACATCCATTGGAGAAATCGCTGTAGCTGGTTTTACTAGATGCACAAGGGATCTTAGCTTGTTTACTCTCCATACACCTGTATGGCACATTTGTTTCAGGTTTGTTTATAGAGATCTTTAATTGAGTAAAATGAGTATTAACCTAGGGTAAGAAAAAGACATTAATTTATGTCTCGTAAAATGGAATAAGAGCTGTCGGAATCTTACTCCTTTCAAGGGAATGACCCAGACGATCTGAGGGCATAAAATCATTTTTAAATGTTATTAATACTAGTGGATTCTTAATGTAATGTACATGCAAAATGAAAGGGGTGTGGTAACAAATCCAGCGACACCCAGAAGTGCGTGGTGTTCAGCTCAGCTGTACACCATGGCCTAGAACTAGAACGGACTGAAATTTTTCATTCAAAATGTGTCGTTTTTTTGATGAAAACGGCTTTTGGTTTGCAACATGCCTGGGAAGAGGATCACGGCCGGTGGTTCTGTCTCTGACAGCCTGAAGCAGGAGCAGGCAATGTGCCACTTGCTAATCATGTTGAAGTTGCCGTTGATCCAAAGCAAATCTAGCTTGGTATGGGAACAAATGAAAAACCCAAGACTGTGCTGTTCCTTCAAGCCCACGCAGAACAATGAGTTGCACTTAGGAAGTGAAAATGCCAAATGAGTCGGATCAGTCCAAGTTTGTGTTGAATTGTTTTGTTGAATTGCCTTTTGTAGCAATTCTGTTAATTTTAATGCCCAAGTCATAATTAGGAAATGAACCAATGAAGCATATGTCCTCATTTAAACCTTAATATTTCACTAGGGAATTCCTGCCTCTCTCTCTCTCATCTGCTTCCTATGTCGTGGGGATATCCATATGATCAGCTGCAGAACCATGTGATTAAAATGTGGAACCTTGTGACAAATACCATTTATCACATGATCCTCCATTTTTCCCACTGCATTCTGCCCCCTCCTACGTAGAGTCAGATTCGAAAACATCCCTGTAGGTAACTCCACCCCACTCATAGGTCACGGAACAGAAGACCATAATGAGTCACTGACCACTGATATTTTGGCACAAAACTATCCGCAGTGGAAAACACAAGCAGTAGCAGGCAGTCTCCAGCACAGAGAGTCCTTTGAAGCTTATGCCTTGGTCATATCAGAAACAAAGAAATCCCACCACTTTGCCACTGTAGCCGCCAACGGACATCCACACCGTACTATTCCAGGCCACTAATCTCCTTGTTAACCCGTAATGCCTTCGCTCAATTCCATAGCTCATCACCTCATGCTATGATGAACTATCCGCCTGTTTCTCAGAGACTTTCTGCCACCTAGACAGCCTCTTGGGACACCAGGAACCATATAGCAGACCCAGGCCCAGTAATGTTACACCTTTTGCCTTTCCAAATCTGGCTCCTTCACACAATTGTAAGTCCTGGAAGCGCTGCAGGGAAACCAACTCACCCCCTGCGGCTCTGATCCAGGCTATTCTTGGCTAGTGAAAGTCAGTCCTGGCTCCTACTAAATGAGACTGAATACTTCCTTCAAGAAGACAAGCTACCTCCTGCCTAAAGCACCGTCTAATCTAGTCAGTACTTAAGGAAACCTTTGGACAACACAGCCAACCTCTCCATGTACCGCCCAGTATCTAACCTTACATACACAGGCGAGCTAATGGAAAAGCTCATCAAGAGTTACCTCAACAAAGGTTATCTCCAGCTCCACCTTAGTGCAGCCAGTACCTTGCACTCCTCCTGATCAAGCGTCAAATGAGGACGCAGAGGAGGGATGGCAGGAAGACATGAATTAAGATCATAGAAGATTAGAGTTGGAAGAGAACTCAGGAGGTATCTAGTCCAACCCCCTGTTCAAAGCAGGACCAACCCCAACTAAATCATCCCAGCCAGGACTTTGTCAAGCCGGGCCTTAAAAACCTCTAAGGAAGGAGATTCCACCACCTCCCTAGGTAACCCATTCCAGTGCTTCACCACCCTCCTAGTGAAATAGTTTTGCCTAATATCCAACCTAGACCTCCCCCACTTCAACTTGAGACCATTGCTTCTTGTTATGTCATCTGCCACTACTGAGAACAGCTGAGCTCCATCCTCTTTGGAACCCCCTTCAGGTAGTTGAAGGCCGCTATCAAATCCCCCCTCACTCTTCTCCTCTGCAGACTAAATAAGCCCAGTTCCCTCAGCCTCTTCTCATAAGTCATGTGCCCCAACCCCCAAATCATTTTTGTTGCCCTCTGCTGGACTCTCTCCAATTTTTCCACATCCTTTCTGTAGTGGGGGCCCCAAAATTGTACGCAATGCTCCAGATGTGGCCTCCCAGTGTTGAATAGAGGGGAAGAATCACTTCCCTCGATCTGCTGGCAATGCCCCTACTAATACAGCCCAATATGCTGTTAGCCTTCTTGTCAACAAGGGCACATTGTTGACTCATATCCAGCTTCTCATCCACTGTAATCCCCAGGTCCTTTTCTGCAGAACTGCTGCTTAGCCAGTCAGTCCCCAGCCTGTAGCAGTGCATGGGATTCTTCTGTCCTAAGTGCAGGACTTTGCACCTGTCCTACTTGAACCTCATCAGATTTCTTTTAGCCCAATCCTCCAATTTGTCCAAGTCACTGTGGACCCTATCCCTACCCTCCAACATATCTACCTCTCCCCCCAGCTTAGTGTCATCCACAAACTTGCTGAGGGTACAATTCATCCCATCATCCA